ATTCTAACACGAATTTTGTCAATATTTCTTATGTTTCTTTTTACTGTCGATGGTAATTGAAAAATCAATTCTCCAAAATTAATTTTTATTTCTAGTCTGACGCGACGCTTGAACGCGTTTCGTAATAACTTATTACATTTTCAAAGACTTTAGTTTACACACACACAACTGTAACCTGAAAACACTAAACAGAGTTTTACTTATGCTAACACTTGTTGTTAAAGATTTAGCTACTTAGGACGAAGTGTCCATGTAGCACGGGCTATGGTGAGCCCGTAAGCAATTACAATGCTAACACTTACACAGCTTGTCTTATATACTCGCATTTGGGTGAGGTGATATGTTGCAACAGTTTTGGATGAGGTGAACAAACTTTTGACCAACACAAGACAGAACACGGAACACTGGGTATTAATTGGATGAATGAGAGGGAAGAATGTAAGTAACTGCAGAGGGCCTATTGGCCCATACTTCCTATTGATGCTTCTATATTGGTACGGAGTCTTGAAGTGGGTAGAATATAGTTGTGCATTAATTGCCTGTTGATTGCTGGTGTTGTCTTTTTGATGTGTAGTGCCTCGCAGATGTCGAGCCGCCTGCTATCGCTGTATCTATCGATGATTTCTGTGTTGTGTGTTAAGACTTCTCATAAGAATTAAAGCATAAGAATTAAAGAAACTGCTGAAGTAACATTTGGTCCATACGATGCAGCTTCTGTTTCTATCCACCAAGACTCATTCATGTATATGACGTACTTACGCTCGAAACAATGCTTACCTTCGCTTGAATCACTCGAAACAATCGAGTGATTCCACTTCATTTATATGTAACCTGATAATCTGATCCACAGATCAACAACCTTGTTTTCAAACCATTATTTACCCAGGTCTTCCTAAATCTAAATGTATCCTAATTGTTATTCATTGTTTCGTGTCTAATAGACCACTGCGTAAAAATTCTGATCCTTTTAGTGAAAGTGAAAGCTCTGCAAAAGTGACGCTTTTTCGGACTAATTAGCATCGTCCACGAAATATTAACCTGCTTAAAGGATCGTACGCTTCTGGTTAGCTAAAACAACTTCAAATTTGACACTTATCGATTGGTGAAAAGTTGAGGAAGCCCACAGTTGGGACCGTCTTTGTGGAAGAAACATATATAATTGTCTTTTGCCTGGCAGGGCCTTAAAACGTTCAGTTTAATATCTATTAAATAATATCTTGTTTCGTTGCGAGGAGTCCGTGGGTGGAGCTCCGGCCGGCGAGGTAAACACTCTGGGATTACACACACAGAGAAATCACATTATCGTGATATATCACTGAGAAAATCCACAGGAGCCGTGATGAGGATTCGCACCTTTATACGCTGGGAATATAGGTTCCAATCCTCGTCTGGGATTCGCATTATTTTTACGTACATTGTTGTTTTCACACTGGGAATCCTTCATTTCCAGACTATGTCTCCACTCCAAGGGCACATTTGTGCTATATTTGTAATAATGTGTTATACTGTAGGAGTAAACCTCCTTGTGTTCGGACTGTCCCGCTGACCCATGGATATAATAGCCTGTCTGCTGGTAACTGACCCGGAAGTCTTATTCCTCCGGGTTCGTTCGCCTCTTGCAGGTCGGAGTTCGATACCCGACAGTCCAAGTGTTTGGACACCATTCCTTTCCCCTCGTCCCATCCCAAATCCTTATCCTGTCCCCTTTGCAAAGCTTTCCCCTTGTAAATTCCCTTGCCTTCCCTTCTTTTATATCCCTCATATCATCCCAGATTCTTGTCCTCATATCTTAAGTGCTAAATGGTCATGGTGGCTTGGCGCCTTTTTCTTAATAATTGCTATATCTTTAGAAAATGTAGTTGTGAGTCTGTGCAAAGCTGAAATAGTGGAATCCATTATTTCAGCTGTAACAAGGTTTGCAGTACATAAGTAAGTGGCAATTTAAAAAAAAAAGTTTTATTATGAGGCTAGAAAAAGGTTAGGAGACAGAAAACAAAGATGAAACATTGAAGACTTATTTGAAAGTCGAGAACAACCCACCCCCAGGTTTGAAGCACTAATATCTAGAAGAAAAAAGTCGTTATCTAGACGAATAAAGTCGCTATCTAGACGAAAAAAGTCGATATCTAAAAGAAAAAAATCGTTATCTAGACGGAAAAAGTGGTCCTGATGTTCATTCACTACCTAACCTGAGCCAAACCTGCCTATTAGTTTCTACCAAATTCAACCAAATAATACTACCATTTCACACCTCTGCTTCACCAACCTGTTCTCTAAACAGTACCCTGGAGACACACTATAAACAGAGATGCTTGTATGCTTCCAAACACAAAGTTCACTGCACACATCACACCAATACCAAACAGTAAGTTACAATACCATTGTTGACAGACACTCAACTCATACACGCCTGAAAATAGAGGCTGTGGCGACCTTAGGCTCCGTCCTGGACCATTGCAAGCTCTGTCGCATCCCACAAAGAAATTACCCTTCAAGCTCCTATGCTCGTCCAAGCTGCGAACGACCCCCCCCCCCCTTTTAGACGCATTAATAAATTTTATCTCTGTAGTTCAGTATTATCTCGTATATGAATATATAAATTTTATATTAGAATTGTTGTGTAGAGTTCGGTCTAGGTTAGGTCTGGTTAGATCAGGTTATCTCTGGTCATGTTAGGTCAAGTTAGGTCTGGTTATGTTAGGTCAGGTTGGGTGTTTTTGTTTTGCTGGCAATAATTTGTATTTGCAATATGGGAGTGAGTCATTTTACAACAGCGGTTTGAACACTGGAAGTGAGCGAGTCATTGTTCGAAAAATGTTCAAAAGTAATCATTTGTGAACAACTCGTCCATCCTCATGAACGTTCGCCAAATATTTGATTCGTTGCTATTACCAAGAATTTGGTAAATTTTCAAAATCAGGCGACAAGGATTGTGTGATGTACTTCCGTGACCTGACTCGTTAATTGGCATTCAGGCTTATCTCCTCGCAATATTTAAATGTGCAAAGTTGCATGTTGCACAGTGGTACCTGGTCATTAGCCTTGCAGTCTCTCGCCTAATATGACTTTCTCTGGCACACTGAGAGAAAATATAGAATATCGTTGTGAAGAGAATAAATATAATGCTTGACATGAAAACCGAAGAGCAGGACACATATTGAATAAATCCTATTATATATCCTCTTTGTTCTAGATGAACACAGACGAGGTAAAGATAACAGAAAATGCCTCGGCGAAATCCAGGCATCCAGCTCGATTTGAGAGCCAGACAATCGTCCGGACACTCCCTGGTGCTTGAGGACACAGTGTCCTGATTTGCTTCGTGAGGAATGGCGAATCCCCAGATTTGTCTTTCCGTAAAACAAGCAACTGATTTGCCTAACTAGAAACGAACTATAACCCACGCAGCCCACCTAACTAATTGAAGCTAATGCATACAAAACGTCATATTTCGGTGCCATAATTTTTAAGTTTAACAAATTGGTCGACTTCGTAAAATAAATAAAAAAAGAGTCGACTTCTTTGGTGGAGAGACAAGTTGAGCCTCGCTGGTGCAAGCCTCACTTTTCATCATCGGGGAGTCAAGAATTATGAGACATGTTGAGAGACAAAATTAAGACGCAGAGCTCGGGGGGGGAGATGGTAATGAGACACACGAGAATATGGATGCTGTAGTGGGAGCGTAACTTGGACGCGTGCCCAGCAAAAATGTCATGCTAATATTTTTTTACGTTAGCACGGGACGTGTAGTAGCAGCTGAACTGGTGCTATACACCCTAGCTGAGAGCTTCAGTAGGGCCCACACCCTAGCTGAGAGCTTCAGTAGGGCCCACACCCTAGCTGAGAGCTTCAGTAGGGTCCACACCCTAGCTGAGAGCTTCAGTAGGGTCCACACCTTAGCTGAGACCTTTAATAGGCTCCACACCCTAGCTGAAGGCCGTAGCAGGCTCCACACCCTGGCTGAAGGCCGTAACTGGCTCCACACCCTGGCTGAAGGCCGTAACTGGCTCCACACCCTGGCTGAAGGCCATAGCAGGCTCCACACCCTGGCTGAAGGCCATAGCAGGCTCCACACCCTGGCTGAAGGCCATAGCAGGCTCCACACCCTGGCTGAAGGCCATAGCAGGCTCCACACCCTGGCTGAAGGCCATAGCAGGCTCCACACCCTGGCTGAAGGCCGTAGCAGGCTCCACACCCTGGCTGAAGGCCATAGCAGGCTCCACACCCTGGCTGAAGGCCGTAGCAGGCTCCACACCCTGGCTGAAGGCCATAACAGGCTCCACACCCTGGCTGAAGGCCGTAGCAGCCTCCACACCCTGGCTGAAGTCCGTAGCAGGGTTCACACCCTGGCTGAAGGCCATAGCAGGCTCCACACCCTGGCTGAAGGCCGTAGCAGGCTCCACACCCTGGCTGAAGGCCATAGCAGGCTCCACACCCTGGCTGAAGGCCGTAGCAGGCTCCACACCCTGGCTGAAGGCCATAGCAGGCTCCACACCCTGGCTGAAGGCCATAGCAGGCTCCACACCCTGGCTGAATGCCGTAGCAGCCTCCACACCCTGGCTGAAGTCCGTAGCAGGGTTCACACCCTGGCTGAAGGCCATAGCAGGGTTCACACCCTGGCTGAAGGCCGTAGCAGGCTCCACACCCTGGCTGAAGGCCGTAACTGGCTCCACACCCTGGCTGAAGGCCGTAGCAGGGTTCACACCCTGGCTGAAGGCCGTAGCAGGGTTCACACCCTGGCTGAAGGCCGTAGCAGGCTCCAAACACTGGCTGAAGGCCGTAGCAGGGTTCACACCCTGGCTGAAGGCCGTAGCAGGGTTCACACCCTGGCTGAAGGCCGTAGCAGGGTTCGCACCCTGGCTGAAGGCCATAGCAGGCTCCACACCCTGGCTGAAGGCCGTAGCAGGCTCCACACCCTGGCTGAAGGCCATAGCAGGCTCCACACCCTGGCTGAAGGCCGTAGCAGGGTTCACACCCTGGCTGAAGGCCGTAGCAGGGTTCACACCCTGGTTGAAGGCCATAGCAGGCTCCACACCCTGGCTGAAGGCCACAGCAGGCTCCACACCCTGGCTGAAGGCCGTAGCAGGCTCCACACCCTGGCTGAAAGCCGTAGCAGGCTCCACACCCTGGCTGAAGGCCGTAGCAGGCTCCACACCCTGGCTGAAGGCCGTAGCTGGCTCCACACCCTGGCTGAAGGCCGTAGCAGGCTCCACACCCTGGCTGAAGGCCGTAGCAGGCTCCACACCCTGGCTGAAGGCCGTAGCAGGCTCCACACAATGGCTGAAGGCTGTAGCAGGCTCCACACCCTGGCTGAAAGCCGTAGCTGGCTCCACACCCTGGCTGAAGGCCATACAAAGGCTCCACACCCTGGCTGAAGGCCGTAGCTGGCTCCACACCCTGGCTGAAGGCCGTAGCAGGCTCCACACCCTGGCTGAAGGCCATAGCAGGCTCCACACCCTGGCTGAAGGCCGTAGCAGGCTCCACACCCTGGCTGAAGGCCGTAGCTGGCTCCACACCCTGGCTGAAGGCCGTAGCTGGCTCAACACCCTGGCTGAAAGCCGTAGCAGGCTCCACACCCTGGCTGAAGGCCGTAGCAGGCTCCACACCCTGGCTGAAGGCCGTAGCAGGCTCCACACCCTGGCTGAAGGCCGTAGCCGGCTCCACACACTGGCTGTGGAGACGGAGGGAAGGAATGGTGCCCACCCACTTGAACGGTAGAGGGAATTGAACGCTGACCTGCATAAAGCGAGACCATTGCTCTACCGTCCACCCCAAGTGGATGGGCTTCTAATTATGAACATACACTCACACAGACACACACATTCGCACACGCAAGCACATTCGCGCACGCACACACACACACACTCACACGCACACACAAAAAGTCTTTGCGGTACCAAAGAGCCAAAGCTCAACCCCCGCAAGCACAAATAGGTGAGTACACACAAACACACACACATTCACAGGGCGCTGGTAGTTGAGTGGACAGTGCGCGGGACTCGTAAACCTGTAGTCCGGGTTCGATTCCCGGCGCCATCAAGGAACATTGGGCAGAGTTTCTTTACCTAGCAGTAAATAGTTACCTATACCTACAGAGTTACCTATCAGTAAATAGTTACCTGGGAGTTAGACAGTTGTTACGGGCTGCTTCCTGGGTGTGTGTGTGAAAAAAATTAGTAGTTAATAACAGTTGATTGATTGACAGTTAAGAGGCGGGCCGAAAGAGCAGAGCTCAACTCCCGCAAGCACAACTAGGTGAATACACACACACACACACACACACACACACACACACACACACACACACACACACACACACACACACACACACACACACACACCTGTCTCCTGCAGCCCATATCAAGACGATAACATCAGCGGCATATGCCAGGCTGGCCAACATACGAACGGCATTCAGAAACTTGTGTAAAGAATCATTCAGAACTTTGTATACCACATATGTCAGGCCAATCCTGGAGTATGCAGCCCCAGCATGGAGTCCATATCTAGTCAAGGAAAAGACTAACCTGGAAAAGGTTCAAAGGTTTGACACCAGACTAGTACCCGAGCTGAGAGGTATGAGCTACAAGGAGAGACTACGGGAATTAAACCTCACTTCGCTTGAAGACAGAAGAGTTAGGGGAGACATGATCACCACATTCAAGATTCTGAAGGGAATTGATAGGGTAGATAAAGACAGGCTATTTAACACAAGGGGCACACGCACAAGGGGACACAGGTGGAAACTGAGTGCCCAAATCAGCCACAGAGATATTAGAAAGAACTTTTTTAGTGTCAGAGTGGTTGACAAATGGAATGCATTAGGAAGTGATGTGGTGGAGGCTGACTCCATACACAGTTTCAAGTGTTGATATGAAAGATCCCAGTAGGCTCAGGAATCTGTACACCTGTTGATTGACGGTTGAGCGGCGGGACCAAAGAGCCAGAGCTCAACCCCCGCAAACACAACTAGGTGAGTACTAGGTGAGTACACACACACTATGGATGGCGATCTACTAAAGAAATTGTTCACGACATTTGTTAGGCCAAAGCTAGAATATGCAGCGGTTGTGTGGTGCCCATATCTTAAGAAGCACATCAGCAAACTGGAAAAGGTGCAAAGACATGCTACTAAGTGGCTCCCAGAACTGAAGGGCAAGAGCTACGAGGAGAGGTTAGAGACATTAAATATGCCAAAACTAGAAGACAGAAGAAAAAAAGGTGATATGGTCACTACATAAAAAATAGTAACAGGAATTGATAATATCGATAGGGAAGATTTCCTGAGACCTGGAACTTTAAGAACAAGAGGGCATAGATTTAAACTAGCTAAACACAGATGGTGAAGAAATATAAGAAAATTCACTTTCGCAAACAGAGTGGTAGACAGTTGGAAAAAGTTAGGTGAGAAGGTGGTGGAGGCCAAGACCGTCAGTAGTTTCAAAGCGTTATATGACAAAGAGTGCTGGGAAGACGGGACACCACGAGCGTAGCTCTCAT